GTGCCCTACAGGGCAGGCTCTAGGACCGCGGAGGCCATGGGCGGCGGTGGCGGCGCGGCCGGAAGCGGCGCGCTGGGCGCGCCAGTTCAAAAGAGCGCCGGGGAGCCAGGAGAGGGGGAGGAAGCGGGGGCCGTATTAAATCGGAACACGGGCCGCAATTGGCCCGCGGGCCGGACTTTGGACATGCCTGGCCTAAGCAATAATACGGAAATTGACAACGTTAAAACTAAGTTCATCTTAAATCTTATTCCTAGGCTTGGTTCTGAGGGGCTCCTCCCTTAGCACTGCTCAGCCCACATCGTAGGTCCTCTTCCACTCCCAGCAAACCACTACCGCAGTTCGCTAATTGGTGTGCAGTATTCCAGACAACCGCGGATAGCATGTTATCATTAAGAAGTTTGGAATCGATGTCTTGCTTTATGACATAAGCAAACGTCTAACAAATGGGGGTAGGAAGAAACTTCCCAAGGACAGGTGCCCTCTAGTGGATGGGTAGTGCCACATTCCTCTCCTTTGGCCCCACTCTGTGCTGGGAGCTGACCCTGCGGATCAGCCAATACTGACTTCTATCTGTGGATATCCACATCCCAGGGAGACATTTGTATTTGTGCAGGGCTCTAATGATCACGCAGCTACTTATTGCTCCACTGCTGGAGATAAGCTAGTGGATGAAAAGTGAGCAGTATTGCCTAGTGAATAGAGCACAGGTCAGGTGTTCAGGAAACCTGGGTGCTAGTCCTGTCTCTACACCAATTTGCTGGGGGATATTAGGTAAGTCATTCCCTCTCTCTGTGCCTAAATGGTTTTTGTTAAAAAAATGTATTTAATTAGGCTAACCTGCTTTTAGAACAAAAAGAGTGGAGTATTACTAGATGGACCACTGGTTTGACCCAAATGGCAATTTTTAATTTTCCTTTTGGAGGATGGGGAGGTAGTAAGACTAATTTCACCATCAAGTGAATACATTTTATGTGTGTTTTATCTACCTTACAAAAATATAGCATCTTAAACTACTATGAATACCAACCAAAGACTTTACCATTTCACCTCAAGAAGGGTAAAATAAATTCAGTTGCCATGCTAGATTTTCTACAAATCAGATCAAACACTTTTTTATGAGTTAAATCCATGGAACAAATATTAATCTCTCTTCTACAGAGCAAAACCAAAGTTGACAGCCTGCTGCTAGCCAAAGGGAAATACACAGACACAGGATCTGTTTCTGGAGTCCCCTAGAGTTCTAAAAAAGAATAATAATAAAAACTATTCACAGGCCATGCAGCTCATGGTTTGTTACTGCAGCATGTCTCCTGCAATTCATCCATGTTTTAAGCTGAGCTGTTCTCTACTGGGACTGTTTCTGACCACAGGGGTTACCAAACTGGCAAACACAATTCTTTTGCAGGCCTCAGTCAAGCCACCTGTTTTCTTTGCAAACCAAAATGAGCACAGGCAGCTACCAAGAAACAGAAAAGCTGGCGTATTTCCCCCTTTATGGCTACAAAAGGAAATTACCAGAACTAGAAAGCTGATATGGTGGATAATGTTGTGTAACCATTCGAGATCAGCCAGGCACTGTTCTCTCTAATCTTTTCCACGCGTAACCATTCGAGATCAGCCAGGCACTGTTCTCTCGAATCTTTCCCACTTGTGTGCAGAATCATTTTTATGTGCACTGAGGCCTGTGTGGATGTGCACCACCAATAGAAACACAAAGCCTATGTTTGAGCACTTTGCTAATCAGCTGGGCAGCTCTTGAAGCCTCCTGAATGGCCACATAAATGCAAAGCTTAAGGGAAAATTGGTAGAGAGGACACAGCTCTAGGGTTGCCAGATACCGAACGTGGAGGGGAAAAAATTGGTTGAGAAAAAAAAAATAGAGGGCCAAACTTGTTGAGAAAAAAAACAACTGCACAAAAAAAAGGGGGGTCAGGGGAGGAATGTCCCAAGCAGTCTTTCATCTGAGAAAAACAGAAAATACTGGGCAGTTAACCAGACAGAGGCCAATACCAGACACCTGGCAACCCTGCACAGCACTTCAGCTCCCCCTCTCCCCACTGCTGCTCTTCTCCTGCCTTTTGCCTTGGAGCGTCCTGTCCCCCACTGGAAGCTTCCTGCTTGCTGTGCAGAGCAGGGAAGGGAGAGAAGGGTGCTAATGTCAAGGTGCCCCTTCTTCCACCTTGTATCTCCACAGAGCAGAGGGCTGGGGACAGGGCTTTGGAGGGAGTTTCCTGGCTGCTTTTGAGAGTGGTGCAGAGCCAGGGCAGAGGTGAGCCTGCCTTCTCCCCGCTGCATCGCCACCTGAGGTAAGCAGTATTCAGTTGGAACCAGCTCTGAACCCCTGCCCCAGTCATGAACCCCCTCCTGCACCCCAAGGCCCTGATCCCCCTGGACCCAACTCCCTTACAGAGCCTGTACCCTGAACCCCCTCCTGCAGCCCAACTCCCTGCCCCTGGCTCAGCTCAGAGCCCCTCACACTCCAAATCCCTTAGCCCAAGACCAAAGCCTGTGCCCCAACCCTCTGCCCCTGCCTAGTGAAACGGAGTGAGAATGGGGGAGGCAGGAAGGGAGGGTGGATTGAGGAGGGAAGGGCTTCAGAGAAGGGGTGGGAAGGAGGCAGGGCAAGGGTGTTTGGGTTTGAGGTAGATCCTGGATTGCACTTAAATTCAAAAATGATCTTGTGCTTAAAAAGGTTGGAGACCCCTGCACATGTGTATCTCTGCCTGCTGCTGCATAGCATCAGATCAGCATAGAAATACAGCAGGCACCTGAGATGCAGTCTGATCTAATAGACAGAGAAGTGAAATAAGACTCAGGAGCCTGGAGTTCTATCCTTTACTCCACCTGTTATGATCATGAGGGTTAGCCAGCAGCCTGGGGAATAAGGAGACTAACCCAGGTAGAGTTGGTCAATAGGAATGTAGGCAGGAATTTCAAACTGGGACAAAGGAATTTTTGTTTTTTCCCTCTCCTTTGTCTCTGGGGCAGTTTCTTTCTCGCTGCTGAGGGGGGCAGACAGAATGTCTCCCTCCGAGAAAAGAATTCACTATCTGTAAGTAGCGTAAAGTTTAGATAAATCCGTTTTATTGTTTTATGGTTTGGGAAATGGGATCTGATGTGTGTGCATTTAAAAATGGGTTTTGCTCTCCTTTTTAACGAAGTTCCTGGCCCAGGGAAGGCTTCCCCTCCATGAGTATATTACTTTGTTACTTTTCCATCTAGTCATTGTGCTTGCTACAGGAATATTGTGGTGATAATAAAAGTTCTTTCTCTTTTCTTTTTATGAACCTGGTATTGGTTAATTTTTGTGTCCGCGTTTGTATTTTAGGGGTGAGATTTCCCAAGTGATCTCTCCCCTGATTTTCTTATCATTACTTGGGTGGTGGCAGCAGAGTTTTCATCCCCCAAATCTAGGTTAAGATTTTGGGGGGAAGTTTTTTTACCAAAGCCTGGAAAGCTAAGGTTTTGGGGGTACATTTGTGGGCCCCCACTTCTGCATTTAGTACTTTTGTGGGGCCCCACTTCTGCATTTACTGTGACAGAGTGGGGAAGGAGCCATGACACCACCACTGACCTCCTGTGTGATATCTGACAAGTTTCACTTCTCTCCCTTGTCCATTCTTAAGCGTACACACAAAGGATTCAGAATTCAGTTTGCATAGGCAACCTTCATTCTGGTATTTCCAAACTTTCGAATAGCCAACTTTCAGCCTGCATGATGTTCCGTTTACATGGTTTGTGTGTGTTAATATATAAACACAGAAATGAGAAACAAACATCTTACAGACTTTTTGGCATTGTTTTTCTGAAATCACTTTCCTTCAGGTCTGCTCTCTGCAACAAAGCAGGATTTTGTCCCACATCTTCCTTCTATGAATAAATCATGGGAGCTGTTTCATATCCAAGCATCCCAGGGAATTATTGCTCTTTTGTAAAATGATCTGCAATCCAGAGTAATAAAAAAATGTAAAAAGCCTTGGCAAACCTAAATTGCACTCATTAGGCAGAGTCAATGCAAGTCAATTTAAGGTTCCAAAAAGCTGTTTAATGTAATGTGATCCTGTGTTTTAATGAGTTTTTATTGATAAAAGAATTTTGTTTGATTATTTTCTTGTATTGAAATGCAGCCCTGTGGACGTGATGCTATTACTTTCATTTTGAGACACTTCACAATTATAGGGCTCTGTTCCAAAAATCCCCATCCACTTCAAGGGTCTGTGGATCTGGCCTGTTGAACTGATCCAGGGGCTATGTCTACACTACGGTTGTTTTCCAGGATTCCTCCGGTATCCCAGAAAAACTCCGCCGCTTCCAGGGAATGTATCTGTTCTTCCAACATTTTTTTGTGGAAGAGCTCTTTCAGAAGCTCTGTCTTCCTCCTCCCATGAGGAAGAAGGGATCTTCCAAAAAAGGAGGATTTTACAGTGTAGACTGGACAAATTTTGGAAGTCTCTTCCCAAAAAACTGTCAGAAAAAGATACGCAAATTGCAGGGCACAATTTGCATACCTTTTTCTGATACGTCAGTGTAGAGTAGACATAGCCAGAGAGTGAATTGCTATGGAAACAACATAGATTTCTCTAAAGTGGATCCTACAGAGTTTAAGGGTGTGTCTACTCTGCACCATATTTCGAAATAATAATGCAAGAGCTTACACGTCCATTCTGTTATTTCAAAATAATTTTGAAATAACGGACAGCTTATTCCGAAATATGCAAACCTCATTCCACAAGAAATAACGCAAAATAGCTATTTCGAAATAAGGCCTGCATAGATGCTCCACTGCTGTTATTTTGCTCACAAGGGCCATTATAAATTATTACTCCTCAGTGCCTCCTGGGGCTCTAAATCAAGATAGCACATCTACCTTAGGGAAGCCTGCCTCAGACTAGTTTTGAGGCTTCCCTACAGTGTAGATGTGCTATTTTGAAAGACACTATTTTGGAATAACTATTCCGGAATAGCTTATTTAGAAATAGCTGTGGAGTGTAGGTATGTCTACACTGCAGTGTTAACCCAAGATCTTGCCCAGGTTTTAGGTTTCATTGGCCACTTTTATCTGAGCTGGACCTACAGTGAGGTCACTGGTGAAACCACTGGTATGCTGACAGTCCAACAATGCCCTTTCCACCAGTTCCCTCAACAGACAAAAGTGCTCCCATAATGACACAACTAACAGGAAAAGAATCCCAGAGACCCACAGCACTGGGCAGGTGAGTGCAGCAAGAGTGAGGGTGCAGTAACATGGGTATGGCGCTGTGGTGGGAACACGCACATCCCGGCTAGGCTAACCTGAGAGCTTAGGCCCCAGCTGAAGTTTGCAGTTATGGCACAGTTATAGACGTGGGTCAAACAAGTTCTACCACCCCACTGCACTGCCTCACCATGGCCCTGCGGAGGGCGAGCAGGGCTTTCTTCTAGTGCCTTCTGGAAGGGACACTACTTGACCTTTATCCAAGTGGCATGGAGACCCAGTTACACTGCAGCCTTGGGCTGGAAGCAGAGTTAACTCTCAGCAAGGGTTTGGAGTGAACGTAGCTAGGAGCTAACTACACTCAGTCCCCTAAAGAAGGAACGGCTCAGTCCCACTGGAATTTGTCTATGTATGAGATTGTGTCTTCTATGCAGGTGGCAGCCACTTTGAGGTAAAAGGGGCTGCTAGCGTTACACTCAGGGGAAGTTCTCAGAAAAGTGGACAGTGCAATAGGCCATAGAGTAACCGTCTTTCATTTCATAGCCACTTCCAGTGACAATCTCTAGTCATAGAGGCAGAGAAGACCTCAGAGGAATGGTGGAAGCCATACTGCACTAGTGTTTTAAACTAGACCGGGAAGGCACTCAAGGGTATAATAAACTAACATTAGCAGAAGGAGGCAGATGACCTCCAGGGGCTTTCTGCATCTTTATGGTTGCATTTCCCATTTCACTAAGTGCATAAAATTAATCAAAAAGCAGTGTTCCACTAGAAAGACATTAGTCAATTATTCTAATTAATACCTGACACACTGATGCTAATTAATTTGTGTCTGATTATAGAAGTTGCAGGTGTCAAGTCATTGACTAAACGCTGTGTTTAATGCACAGAAAAGGACTTAAAGTGGCACATGCATAGTTTATGGCAGGCTAAATTTGTTACATGTAAATTGAATGAAGTTATAAAATGTTTGGTGCCAGGTTGCTATCCAATGCAGAGTAAATAGACACTTATTTCTTTCTCAGGCTCAGCATCTCACTCCTGAAGATTTTAGGTGTTTGGAGTGCTACAGAGATACAATATGATGAATATTTGCTTCTTAAATAATGTACCTAATATTTTCATGAATTGCATTGAGATAGCACCTGGAGACTACCCCTTCTCTGGGTCCCCTGTTCTGGGCCTTCTACATAGAATACGAGACATTCCCTGATCTCAACGCCATATCATGTAAAGAAAGAAGACAGAGAAAGGGTGGAAGTACCTCAGGTACAGAGAGAAAAAGCAACTAGCCCCAAATCACAAAGCATATTAATGGCAGAGCTGGGAACAGAATCCAATTACCCTTTGTGGCATTCACCATTAGACCACACAGTTTCAATGTACACAAGGTAAATTATTTTTTTTAAATTGTGAAATACAATCAGTTCTAGCCCTTTAACAAGTTCTCCTTTTTGACAGAGATAATTTTTAATGTACAGGAACCCAGTATTATTCAATGGAATTCATCGTGCAGGACAGAAAATCACTTGGAGGAAAGAAGGAATTTTAAAAGAGTGGGAGGAGTGAAGAGTAGTAAATCCTGCAGACCCTTACATAGGAGAATAATTCAGAATTCTCTGAGTAAAGCCTTTGCAGGAATTTTATGCCCCAGGCATAATCAAATAACCCACATTACTACAGTACAACATTTTCATAGATCGCTAGAACTTTAAGGTACCTCTAGAGGTCATCAAGTCCAGTCCCCTGCCCTCACAGCAGGACCAAGCACCCTTCTAGAAGTTTGAGTCTGCTACTGCTTTTAAATGTTTAGATTTAATCCTTTAATTCCAGCAATCAAATTTTTAAACCCAGTTGTCTCAGGTTCCATCCCACCAGATGACCCTTCCTGCAGGCTTAATCTGAGAATGGGATAAATGTATTGTGAATACAGAACTGTAGATCTCACCTACCACAAAATGGGCAGAGAAATGTATCTGCTTATTCAGATCTTTCCCCAAGGAAATGGCTAAGCAATTGGGGTATGTCTACATTACAGCATAAAGTCAAATTAAGATAAACAAATTCAGCTACATTAATTGCGTAGCTGATGTCGAAATACCTTAACTTTTGGTGCTGTCCACACCGCAGGAAGTCAAAGTAAGAACACTCTCGCTTCAACTTCCCTTCCCCCTCATGGAAGCAGGACAACTGGCATCGCCCAGAGTGCTACTCTTAGTTAGAATTTGCTGTCTTCACTAGACCGTCCAATTCAGTGTTTCTTAAACTTTTTAAGACAGAGGAACACAAAACAATAATTTTTTGTTATGAAGAACACAGGCTTGGGGAAAAATTAGTGAGAAAAAAAAAAGGTCGCCTGCCCCTTTTAGGGTGGCCATTTTGAATTCTATTGTTCTCCGCAGCATACCGGTGTGCCACGGAGCGCAGTTTAAGAAACACTGATCTAATTTGAACCCTGGAAGATTGACAGTAGCAGCTTTGGTTGTTCTCTGTAGTGTAGATGTATCCTTGGATAGCTATCTACATACAATGGACAACTGTATGACAACTAGGGAACAAAGCTTATTGTTAAGGCATATTAGTCTAAGGTTTTGCTCATGACATAGGACCATATGCTCTTAAAACATTTATTATTCACTTTATACCAGTGTGCAAAGGCCTCCAGGATTTGATACACAGCCACTTGAGGTCAACTGGAGTCTTTCCCCTGACTTCAGTGAGCTTTCTGGAACAGGTCTCCATGGTACTTGGCATGGAAAATCTCATGGGAAAGAATAACTCCAGTTCCCACAGAGCTTGAAACCTGGAGCTAAGACAAAATGTGAGAGCAAAGGCAGGCTATGAACCCCTTTTTTACAGATGAGCATCTGAGGCAGACAGACCAAAGCCCTAACATCCAGAGGTAACAATCACACCACTACATGGGCTCAACACCTCAGAAAAATCCACCCTTCGGTTTCTTGTTCAAGGTCACACAGAGAGAGAGAGAGAGAGAGAGAGAGAGAGAGAGAATGCCTAAATGCAGCTTTTCTTTATCCCAATCTAGTGTCTTAATCACAAGTTTTTCCTTCCTTTCTATTACACTTACAAGAAAGCTGTTCCAAGAAGTATCGTATTTCTCACTCACATAAAAGCAACCCAAGTCTACATGACAAATGATGAACAGATTTGTCAGCAAGCAGGTATGTGTTCATAAGTAATAAAAATTGAAAGGGCTGATAACTTTGTACTTAAAAATAAAAAGTTGTTTTGTTGTTTGCCCTTTCATGGTCAAACAATGGGTCTGGCCTGTATACAGGCAGTCCCCGGGTTACATGGATCCGACTTACATCGGATCCCTACTTACAAACGGGGTGAGACAACCCTGCACTAGCTGCTTCCCCCCAGCAGACCAGGGAGACGCGGAGCGGCTTTTCTCAGCAGACACCTCAGCTTGAGAATAAAGGACTGAGGGAAGTGAGGTGTGGGAGAATAAAACTGAGCTCTGGAGAAATGTTTGGCTAGAGTTTCCCCTGCAATATGTACCAGTTCCGACTTACATACAAATTCAACTTAAGAACAAACCTACAGTCCCTATCTTGTACGTAACCCGGGGACTGCCTGTATTAGACTATTTTTCACATTAGTTTCATTTGAATGTGGCCTTTGTGCCTGAAGAAAATGAAGGGAGCTAAATAGCAACAACCCTACCAGCCTAACAGATATAAAATCCATGTTCAAGCACGTACAGATTTCCTCTCTTTTCTTCTTTTTTATTTAAAAAAAAAGCCACACAGCCAAAATTTTTCCTGATTTACATGTGCGTTTCCTGGAGGTGACTCTCTAATGCATAGAAACAAGTTTCTCACCAGCAACTGGCAAGTGCCCTGTTATTTTCATGTGTTTTCTCTCTCTCTCTCTCTCTCTCTCTCTTTCTCTCTCTCTCTCTCACACACACGCACACACTCACTCATTTCAAAAGCATTTTTTCGTAAATTGGATGCGAGTTAAGCATCAAAGACTATGAACTTTCCATCACAGTTCTGACTTTGAGTATATATTATAAGTTTAATTCTTGCCAATGACAGAATTTTATCAGCTGATATTAGGGGGCGGGGGAATTCTCAAGAACTTTTTTCCCCCTCCTGTCTTTGTGACAGCAAAGATCTTGGTAAATTGCAATAAAACACAGGTATTCAGAGCTGCAGCTTCTAATATTAAATATTTATAACCCGTCTGATGTGAAGTTTTTTCTTTTCTGTATTGGAGTGTTTTCCCATGAGCACAATGACAGAGCCAAAGGAGTTAGTTTAAGACAAAGCTGAGTAGTTCTCCCTGGAAACAATTGGATCGATTCTTCTCTCACTTACAATAATACAACTCTAGAGAAGATATAAAAGGCTTTTTTTAAATAAAAATTATGTTTTAAAAAACATCCAATTTTTCAAAGAAAAAAGAAAAACAGGTTTTTTGTTTTTGTTTTCTATACACACAGGGACAACTTTTCAAGAGGGCTCCGTGTTTGTACATGTAAATTGGATAATTAAGTGTGCTGTTAGAGAAACTGCACACACAAATATAGAATATTTTAAAGGTCCATTGGAAATTGGTTCCATGGTAAATATGGTGCAGAAACAATAAATCTAAATCTAATCAATTTATTAGATGAGATATGTTATTTCTTTATTGAGATTTAAAAATAACTAAAAAGATTCCTAAGGATCTAGGCATCCTGACAGACTATTAACAATAGAGGTCAAGTCTAAGCAACATTAAAATGATTGATTCAGGAGGAATTCCACCAGCCAGTCTCTGACAAAAACTCCTTTCTGGCCCTTCATCATGTAGGAAACAAACTGTCACATCTAGAGAAACCCTGTTAAACAGATATAATTTGTAGCACATCCAGAAGATCATCAAATATGGACTATGGGCTAAGTTCCCTAAATATGACCCTACATAACTATAACCTACAAATGAATGTGTGTTACAGGTCCCACTCTGTGCTGATGCATGGAAAATACAAGTTGTTACAACTGGCCTTGCCCATTCACAGAATATGCAGCTGCCCCCAAACATTTCAGGCACCCCTGGGTCTAAATGTCCATTCCAGCACTCCCATGCTTCCTCCATGCTTCCTCATTCCATGAGGTTTAACTGGTAATTCGAAGTAAGGGGTTTATTTTGGAATCGCCCTTCTCTGCTGCGTGTTCTTCCGGGCTAGACAGTTTCCAAAATGGCGCCCACCTGGGAACATGCTAATGAAGCGTGGGATATTTAAATCCCGTGCTTCATTTGCAATTTCAGTCGCCCTCATTAGCCTCCCTAGTTCCATCTAGGGGGCTAGTGTAGACATACCCTTAAAGAAAAATAAACTAATCCCCTGAAGACTGGGCAGTGTTGCTTAAAGGGGTTGCTTAAAGAATAATAATGGAATAGATGAATGGTGAGTACAGGTTGAACCTCTCTAGTGCAGCACCCTCAGGACCTGACTGGTGCCGAGCCAGAGAATTTGCTGGACCATGGGAGGTCAATATTATCCAGCAGCATTACCAACAGTTCCACTGCTTACTGAGCTTTTAGGAGACATTTAGGGGTAAATTAGAGCACAGAACACTGAGAGCCAGGATTGGTGGCTGTAAACACGCTTCTTGGGATTGTGGGAGACTAGGCTACACCCATGTTAAGTGGACATCTGGCTAACTAATACCATGCCAGACCACGGATGTTGCCAGACCAGAGAGTGTCGCACCAGATAGATTCAGCCTGCAGAGAAGTAATTTATGTTCTCCTCCTTGGCATTTAATAGAACAAACCACAATAGTCCTTTGCTTAATTTTGTCAAACATCCACTAGAGCCAGAAGGCAGCTGGTGAACTTGGACAAAAATGGGCAGAAGGTTCAGATCTCTATCGAAAAGGGTGTGCTCTAATTGCTATGTAAATCACTTCCAATGCTGATGAAACAGTCAGGGAATTGGAGGGGATATGACATTAGTTTGAACACTTTATTATAAGCCTTCATTAAGTAAAGATAAATTATAGTGAGACATCTGAATGAAATCCTATATCAGTTATAAACAGTCATTAAAGAAGTTATAAAATAAATTTTCAGTGATGACAAATATACACATGAATCATACATATAATATGGATATGTCTTCTTTGCATTTTATAATTCTGAGTCATTATCTCTGTTTAACAATTATTAAATTAAACAGTTATATTCTGGGGAACCTAAGGGCTTAGACACTAATTCCCCAGCGCTTTTGAAATTCTCCTCCTAAGTAATTCATCTCTTGGAGGATTTCATCCTGAGTTATCACATGAGTCTTTTCCATTGTTCTCAGTCATGATCTTACCTAAAGCAATGTAACTGCCAGAAAGGAGAGGGTAAGTTAATATTGCCGCCTCTATCATCAACACTTTGGAAATGAATAGACGGGTTACCAAATCAGAACTACAAAATTGCTGGAATCCTCACACTCTCTGGTGTACCACAGTAACAAACAAAATAAAAAGCTCACATTGTTTAAAAGCCTTTCTTTGAGAGAGATGAAAGCACCCTGCTGGTCTCACACATATTGAGAGTGACACTGATTTAGCTAGATGAATATGAGTTTTTCCCTTTCACTATTCCCACTGCCAGCCCCGCTCCCTATGTGGTAGGGAATGAATTGCTTTCTCAAAGGAGAACTGTAAACCAGCACTGAGCCAAAAATCATTTGGGAAACATCAAGTTCAAGAAACAATCTGGAGGGAGAAGAGGGAAAGTTGTTTGCAGAGGTTTATGTTGGGTGGAACGGGTTGAAAAATGCTACTTACGTTGAAAACTCCTTTTGATGGGGATTGTCTTTTTGTTCTGTGTTTGTAGCATAATGAGGTCCATGACCAGGGCAAGTAGGCTCTAGAGTAATACAAACAGTAAATAATAATACTTTTGATGGAAGACTTTGAAGAAATGAGGAGTGGGGGTTTTTTCACTTGAAATTTACGATGGAATTAGTTTGGTTTTCTGATCAAAGAAAAAGTGTGTGGGGTGGGGGAGGGTTGGGTTGGTTGGTTGTTTTTTTCAGTTCTGGAGCTTGAGAAGTGAAACTTTTCCACTTTCCACATTTCCGTAGTTCTCCCTTCTCCCCATGTAGCACTTTATTGATGTTGGCCTTAGAGCGTACTGAGAAGGAAGAGGGTCTTGTGAGTAAAGCACTAGATTGAGACCAATGTTCTAATTTTTTTATCCATGTGCAAAATAAATTTTGTTATGTGCCCTGAGGCATGTGTGGATGTGCACCACCAGTAGAAACACATGCTGCCGGCTGTGGGTACTATGGGCACTCTGCTAATCAGCTGGGAGTTATTTTAATCTCTCCTGGGTGGCCACCCAAGCACTCATCTTAGAGGGAACACTAATTAAGACTCTGGAGACAATGACTTTAGTTCCTGACTCTGCTACAGATTCCATGCATGTCCTTGAGCAATTCACTTAATAGCTCTGTGCCTCAGTTCCCTATCTGCAAAACACAGATAAAATTTCCCTTCTCCCATTCTTTGTGTATTCAAAGTGTAAGCTCACTGAGCCAGGGACTTTCTCTTCCTTGGCTGGCACTTCCTCCCAGCAAAATACATGGAAAATTACAAAATAAAGCCAGAAAAGACAAATGGATGGAAATTTGTACAGTCTGGTAGGAACTACAGATGATTAAGAAATGGGAGGCTGATGTGATGGACACTTAGGTGATATTATTCTGAACGGTTTGTTTATAATCACTACAGTAAGACAGTCTTGTGACTATGTACTTTGCTAAAGAGAAGTGGTCCTCAAACACTTATCTCAGATGGCCATTAAGCAATTTTCATAAAAAATTGATTTGATTGTTCACTGCTGAAAAACAGAGCAATCCTTTCTAAACCCAATGTAAACTATGTAAGTAAAATTAAGTAATTATCCTAGAATCATATGCAATCAGGAAATCTGCCTAGATAAGGAAAACCATTCAAACATACCATAGACTGCAGGGTATTTTTAAGGCCTGTGCATATAATGGAGATGATGTGAAGATGCACAGCTTCTGAAAGGCGTCTGTCCTGATTTTCAGAGGTGCACAGACCTCAAGCAGAGTTGAGGATGCGAAGTATTTCTGCACATCTGTTCTCTTGTGCCTGAGGTATAGAAACAGCAATGAGAGTTAATGACAGAACTTTCAGACAATGGCATTTTCCAATGGGAATTTTTTTTTAAACAAACTCTCCATGAAAATGTGCAGATTTTGACAAAATCCCAAGATAGATAGATAGATAGATAGATAGATAGATAGATAGATAGATAGATAGATTTCCTCTTTGCAGAAAAATTCTCCCCCCTCCATTCTGATTCAGAACTAAAATTTATTTTTTTCCATGAAAAGGAAATTCTGATTCCTGCAGATATCTGGTTGGTGAGACATCCTTAAATGAAGTGCTATGTTCTCTTCTGCTGAGCGTAAGGATCTAGGTTAGACTCCTGCAAAGGGACATTATAGGGGAACATCTTATCTGCCTTCTTTGATATCTGTGCAGAGATCATGCATATTGTGTCCATATAGCCTTAAAAGAAAAAAGTTTGTTCAGTGCAGCTGGTCTAAGAACCCAAAAGCTGTTGGCCAATGTTTTTAAAAATGGAAACTCAAAGCTAGACTCCTGAAGTTAGGTTGAAGATAAATAATACTGCCCTCACATATTCTTTTTCTATTTATATTGCAAGCTCCCTGGAATATGGGCTGTCTCTTCCTGTGTGTTTGTAAAGCACAGTGAGGCTCTGATTCTCAAGTGAGGCTTCTTATTCACTACTGTGGCACCAATAAGAAAGAATGTCTTAATCACCAATGCAATGCTACAATACCGGGAAGCTGCATATTGTGTAAAACCTTTTTTTCCAGAGTGGATAGTAATACTTTTAGAAATGGTAGATTGGTGATATTGGAGAGTCAAGGTCCCTGTGAATCCACTAAACTTTGTTATTCATTGAATGAAAATTTCCCACCAGAATTTTCACTGGGGCAAGAGCCATTTTCCATATTTTTTTTAAAAAATCAGTTTTTCATTAAAAAATGACTTTTTTTCAGCTGCTGCCACTCCCCACCCTTCCTTCTCTTCTTCACACTCTCACACTTTCCCTTTTTCTACTTGGGCATTGTGGGTATAGGCTGTCCTTGCTATAAGTCCAAGATAAATCCAAGTTTTTTGGAATGTACAATGAAACAACTGAAAGTGGGGAATTTTTTTCCTGCGGCTCACTTTCATTTGTGCACATTTTTAGGGGTGTGTGGGTTGTGCGACTTAAGAGCGGGGAATGGAAGGACTTATAATGCATCAGTTCCTACAAGCATCAATGACTTTAGTGTGGAACAGACGACTTATAGCAGGGACACCCTGTAGAGTAAGTAACAAAGGGAAGGTTGAAATTATGGGAATTTTTTTTGAAAAAGATAAATATTTTTTGAAGTTTTTGTGAAAAGTACGTGTCACTTTTCAGCCAGCTCTGTTCACTAGAATTTGGAGTAAGCTCTTCCAGGCAGGAACAAATTAGCTATCTGCCCTAGATATTCCCATCACTACTGTTGCCGGCAGATCTGAGCACCTTCAATGCATTTAGGACCACAACACAACCCCAGGGAGTGCTGTTATCCTGTTTTACTCCCTCTGGTTTCAAATATCTGTCACTAGGAAAAGGCAGGTCTACGTGATTGAGGACTCCTTATTGAGAAGAATAGATAGGCCTGTAACCAGAGCTGATCCAGAGAATAGAAGGGTGTGCTGTCTGCCAGGTGCTAAGATATGGGATGTGGAAGTGAGGTTGAAGAGGAATATTAAGGGAGCAGGAAGGAATCCATTGATCATCCTTCATGTAGGAACAAATGATACGGCTAGATTCTCGCTGGAACGAATTAAGGGAGACTATGCTAGGCTGGGGAGGACGCTCAAGGAAATTGAGGCTCAGGTGATCTTTAGTGGGATTCTGCCTGTTCCTAGAGAAGGGCAACTAAGATGTGACAGGATTATGATGATCAATAGATAGGCAGTGGTGCTATAAGGAGGGCTTTGGGATGTATGGTCACTGGGAGGCATTTATGGACAGAGGACTGTTCTCTCGGGATGGACTTCACCTAAGTAAGGAAGGAAATAGACTTCTAGGATGGAGGCTGGCTCAACTGATTAAGAGAGCTTTAAACTAGGAATTTGGGGGAGATGGTTGGGAGATGTCCAGGTAATCTCTACGCCGGATTTTAACACTGAGAGGGAGAAAAACGAAGTAAGAAAGGATATAGCTGGGGGTAGGAGAATGTACATGAGGAAGGGTGGGGTGGATACTACTGTAGTCTAATAGGTCATATTGGAGGTACAATGTCCATGCCAAATTGGGTAAAGAATGTGAGTGAGGCCAAACAGCAAAAATTAAGATGTTTGTACACCAATGTGAGGAGCCTAGGTAA